TAGTATATATTTAACCCAAGGCCAATCTAGACCAAGAGACTCCTACAGATTTAAGTCTCCAAAACCTCTTGTTAATTAAGCAATATTACTACTTTTGCATAGCTTTCTCCAGCTTCTAACTAGACATAAATTAAGGTAAGTAATTGCGCAGAGCATAGCACGTAACAATCATGCACTGGGTTTAGGTAACATACTCAAGAAATACTGAATCCCTCAAACTAGAAGCTAAGCAGGCTCAGGAGAATGAGCTAAATTCACTTTGTAAAAACAGATCAAAGCTCACCAAGGGGCTGTTACCCTTTCCGGACACTGCCCTGATTTAGGAACTGCCCTTTGCCACCTCGTCTGCCAGCCACGGGGGTCCCCAGTTCCTGCACGCGCCGTGTGCTCTGGTGTCTGAGAACACTGGACTATTTAGGATAAGTGTTTACGTTCTCGTGCAGTCCCAAGGGCTGTGTGAACAAGATTAAATCCGATTAATGAAATAAAGTCCTTGCCCTTGAGAAGCTGACATTCTGGTGGGAGAGAAATCCAGACCCAAGGGTGACAAGAGCTATATATAATGAGACACGGACCAAGAAATAGTGGATTCTGTCTCCTCAGAGAAAACATGGAGAAGAGGCTGTGAATCAGCTTGGGCTGAAAGATGTGGGGGGACTGCCCGGATGTTAGAAACAGGCTAATGGTCCCCGTGGAAGGTGGCCGCCCTCTCCTGCCAGAGCAAGGCTCTGTCCGGGGCACCGAATAGCCTGGAGAAGACAGAAACAGACCTGCAATGGACGAGGCGAGGAGGCCCATTAAAAGGACACAGGCCTGGCCAAGTAGCTCCGTTGACTGGAGCATCATCTTGATACACCAAGGGTGCGGGTTTGATCAGGGCACATACAAGGATCAACCGATGGATGTATCACTGAGTGGAACAAGAAATCACTGTTTTTTCTCTCTCTCTCCATTGCCCTCTCTCTCTAAAATCAATAAATTTTTAAAAAATTGTTAAAGGACAGATGTCAGGCCAGGTGAGATGGGGAAGGGGAAGGGATGGAGAAGAGCGCTTTGGGACCTTCCCACCAGTCTAGGCCTCGCCAGCCTATAGACGTTGCCCAGGTCTACTCCTCCTGTTAATCCTCCCCACTCCAGGTCTGCTCCTCCACCACAGGTCACGTGCTCCCAGCTCTCCTACTGAGCGTACTTACTCCAACACTGAGGAAGTAGATCTCCCATCATGTGCGCAAGCACTACCCAGCATGCTCTGCACTTGGCACCCCCCCCCCCACAGGTCTGTGCACTTGTCCTTAGGTTACGCTTTCTCAGAGAGAAGACTTAGAGTCATCTTTACTTTTCATGGTCTTCTGGCTTTTGTTTGTATCAGCATTTAAGGTTTACTTCCTTTCATGTCTAGGAAGCACCAATTACTTAGCACTGCGTTCTCCCCAGGAAGCCTGGGAGGCGGGAGTGGGGTGTGGCGGAGCTCCTTAATTACTCTGCAGGTAGAAGGCATTCTAAAAGGGAGGGCTAAGATCTTAATTAGCTCATTTTAAAGTGGTGTTATTTATCTAAAAATGTCAAGGGGAAGGATAAAGGAACAAAAGGAATTTTACCCTCCCAACAAATGGCTTCATTTTTGTTTGTAACTAACTTTACTGCCCTTCATTGTGAAGTTAATATGTGTCATCATAATGGAAAACTTAGAGAACATATTGAAAGCAAAAGAAAGGAAAAGAATCAATTACCCATAATTCTATAGATCAGTTAACATCCTTTTTCCTTTTTGACATAAAAAATTGTGGTATAATCATACTGTATATACTCTTTTTATGTCCACATCTTGATGTAAATGTCACAGTGAGGGGAGAGGTGGAAACACATTTCTGGACTTGTGGTGATGGTTGCACAACTTGGCGAACACCCTAAAAAACAATGAATACTATGTCTTCTATAGTGAATTATATGGTATGTGAATGATAATATCAAATAAAAAAGTTAAAAAGCGTTCAGACACTTTATTTTCACATCTCTGTGACAGCCTACAGACACTCCATGTGACACAGTGAGCTATCACCCTTTCCCAAGTCACTCCCCAACTAGAAGGCATCTGACATTAACATGCCTGGTACACTGAGCTCTGTACGGATATCATCTTCTTTGTTCTCAACAGTTTCCTAGGAGAAGTTAAGGCTTTAAACATACTGACAACCTAGAAATTATTTTAAAGGGCCAGGAGACAACGCAAGAAAATGTAATTACTCTCTAAAATCATTAGGCACCAAAAAAAACCTAAATAAAAATAGGTTCTTAAGTGGAACTCATTGAACACTAAGTCGTAAAAAGAAGACAGACCCCTAAAGCGGGACCACAGATATGTGTCTGATAACAATAGAATCTCGTTTTTCATGTTCGATACTCACTTAGCAAAGAGAAAAAGTGTGATCCCGAAGGTTGGCATCAAGATATTGGGGTGCTTAAGCCTACAGCCTGGGGTTGGACAGAACCAGTTGAAACCCCAGTCTGAAACAAGACCAAGAGACCTACAGCACAGTGACCCTCAACTGTGTCACCCAGAAACTGGCCTCCTGCGCCACAGGCTGAGGTAAAGTTCCCCTACGATGAATGTTCCGGAAGGGCTTGGTCGCGATGCCTGCCCAAAATGAGCACTCGATAAATGCAGTAAGTAGCTGTGGCTGGGATCACGGGGGTGTCAGCTGCTTTGGACCAAACTGGAAAGGAAAGCAGGAATCCAAGTCCCAGCAGTGCAGACATTTCTGCTTAGAAACTACAGTGTTTTCCTGCTAACTTAGAAATCGCCTGAAGGTATTTTTATTGCCCTGGGAGTTTCAGCTGTTCCCGGAGTTCCTTTGCACAATCTTTACATTCCAGTGTGCTAAAAGCTTCCTCATGCAGAGATAAAAGCAGTCTTTGTTTCAAGCTGGGGAAAGACACCATCTTTGTCAGAGTTAACTGTTTAAAGACTTTGAGTACTTCTCCTGGCACGGCGGGAAGCCCCAGGAATGCGGACACACCCAGAAAATGAGACTGGGTGAGTTTCAGCAAAGTGGATTATGTGTGTGTGTTTTCAGGTAAACTATTTCAGGCAATGTCAAAATGCCAGGCTCTATGCTTAAGTGTTAAGAGTTACTCTACAATAGCCCTGTGACGTGGGAACTTTGATGGGTCCTACTTACTAGTAAAAAACCCGAGGCTTAAGGAAGTTAAGTATGTTTCCAGTCAGATAGCTAGTAAATTAGTGGAAGAGCCAAGATTTACAACAATGATCACACATGTTCTTGTCTACTGCGCTTCGTTGAGTAGAACTGACAGTAATGAGATAAGCCTTACAGACTTTAGTTTTACGTTCTGATTAGTGATTTCCTGACTTCCCAACTTGATCTTTGACAAGCATGGTTAAAGGCACCAAGGAAGAAGACTTTTTAAAGGTCAATTTGGGCACTTCATTATTCTCCCTTCAGCTGTCCCGGCAGCCGTTCCGGAAAGTACCCACGGTGTCCCCTTGGAATTTAAGGCTGCTCAGAGACAGCCGATGCAAACCCCGATGTCCTGGTAGAACCACAGGACGTAAAGGATCTTTCTCCTTCTCTTTCCTTCTTTTTTTTAAAAGATCTTCTTTATTTATTTTTAGAGGGGATGGGAGAGAGAAAGAGAGGGAGAGAAACATCAATCTGTGGTTGCCTCTTACACACCCCCTCCTGGGGACCTGGCCTGCAACCCAGGCATGTGCCCTGATTGGGAATCGAACCAGCGACCCCTTGCTTCACAGGCTAGTGCTCAATCCACTCAGCCACTCCAGCTAGGGCATCTTTCTCCTTTTCTTCACACCTCTGGAAAAAAGTCACCAGTTTCACCAGTCAAAGTTTTTAGGAAAGGCGACCATGTAATTTATTCTGCAAAATAAAACAATTTTGACAGTGAAAAGGGGCACAATCAGTAAGTGTGCAGGCATAGCCCAGGACATATGGTCATGTTCCATAGTTCCCAGGTCATCCTGGTTGAGGTTCCCCGTCTGCAGTGACCTGGGTACGAGTGTGTCAATAAGCTCACTCTGTTAGAAGAGAAAAACGTCTCCTAGCCCTTCAGCAAGGGTAGGATCCAGCAGCTCTGGCCGCCGGGGCTTGTCTGCATCTCCACCCAACCTCGCGGCGGAGAGGAAGTCCGGAAGGGAGAGCAAGTGTGGCGGAGTCACAGCATCCCAATAACTGCCTGTTTCCAGGGACTCGGGGGTGGGGCAACCCCGAAGACACATCCTTCGTTAACACCTAAGCCCAGAAAGTCAGAACGTTTACTTCTGTAGACCCGGAAAACGGTGTGACGACTTGAACAAGCTCTTGCTCAACTCCACGCAATTAAATGCTTTATCTGCTGGATTTAGAGAGGGAGGCTCTGTGCCTGCCTGGTCCTGTCTTACTCATCCTAGAACTCGAGGAAACATACTCATTCCAACAGCTCTTTTATGTCCAGGCCTTAGGGGTGGGGTTAACTAGTAGGGTAAAAAAAGAGTCTGAATTTTTCTCTCATTAGATCAACCTAAAGAGCAAAGGCATAAAATTTCCCCAGCATTTTCCCAACAAAAGTAATGAAATTCAAGGGGAATCGGGACCAAAAAAAATGTCCTTAGAGGTCCCCATGACCAGCTTCTTCCTTTACAGAAGAGGCCCCGAGGCCTCAGAGGGCGGAGCTGGGCCTGGAGCGTGCACCCAAGGGACCTGGCCTCCTGGCTCTCGGCTGAGGCCTATTTCCATACTGTGCTATTTGGTTAAAAAACTATCTCGTGTTTTACATCTTCTTCTCTCCAAAGAGAGGAGGGAGGAAGGGGGAGAAGAAGGGAGGAAGGAAAGTAAGCAGGTATGGGGGGGCAAGGTGGGGTTGAATCCATTCCATTAAAGCTCTTCTCCCTTAAAACAGTTTCAGACAACCAAAGTACGGAGATTCGAGGGACAAGTGCAAATACCGGAGTCAGAGCCCGACGAGAGGACAAATGTATCCCCTACCTTTGGTCTTGATGGCCGTTTCAATGTTCAGAGCATCCCGGTCAGCATCAAAGTTGGTGTAGGCTTTGACCGACCCGTAGGCGTTTGCAGGTGTGGAGTGCTGAGGTGGGAAAAGAAGCACACCCGGATCATACACAAGAAGTCCCTCTGGTTGAAGTACCGATTTCTAAAATAGATTTTTTTCCCTATTGTTTCCTTTAACAATTCAACCATTCTTAGCCTCAGTAACTATAAGGAGCTTGATACTTTCTAAGGAGAATTCTTTCTTCTAAGGCCCGGAGAGTGAGTTTACAATATGCTGTCTCGATTTCCACTTACCGTAAAAGTGCAAGCTCAAAAGCAAACAACACAAAGCTGAGCACTTGAGAGCACCTGTTTATTTGGGAAGGTTTGGAAGAGCATTAAAACTGGGCTGGCAACAGTTCAAAACAAACTGAAAATGTGGGGATGCCTGAATAACAAGTGTGTTCAGCCAAGCTGTTACAACAGGCACACAAATTTTCCTCTTGGGCCTGTTGGCTGAGCTCACCATTCTTCCCCCCCCCCAAAGATTTTATTTATTTATCTTTAGAGGGGAAAGGAAGGAGAGAGGGAGAGAAATATCAATGTATGGTTGCCTCTCTTTTGTCCCCCTGCTGGGAACTGGCCTGCAACCCAGTCATGTGCCCTGACTGGGAATTGAACCTAGATCTTTCAGTTCACAGGCCTGCACTCAATCCACTGAGCTACGCCAGCCAGGGCTGAGCTCACCATTTTTTAGAAGTGAATGTGAAATGCCCGCCTGCTTGTCTCTGTCAGGTAAGCAAGGAAGCCCCTCCGCTGTGGCCACTGCCATGGCACCCAGGTGGTCAAGCACATGGCCCACATCCTCTTTCACGCCAACCAAGTTCCTCCTGCTCTTCTCTCACCTCTCTGTCCCCTCCCCTCTGCTGCCTAACGCTACCGCCTCTGCCCACCTCTCTTCCTAGGGTTTTCTTACTGCCTTGTAAACCATGCCCTCCTCCTTCCCAATGATTTACATTCCCCTTCCTGGTCAGAAGGGCCCACCCTCACCCACCCCCCAGACCGAGGTGAGGGCAGTAGCCTGCTTCTACAACAGTTGTCTCTTCCAAAGTGTCAGCTAGCCTGCTTCCTGGAAGTGCTCTTGCAGCTGTCCCCTGCCACCTAGCCCCAAAGCGAGGGACAGACAAAAGGGGATGGACAATGTGGTCCTGGTTAGCTGACGGCTGGGGTGCCACCTACCACCACCCCACCCGCAGTGCCAGTGCCCCCATCTTGAAACCCTCCACCGCCTCCCTCAGTACATAACACCCGTCATAATGTGACGAGTGTCACTGGCTCGGTTTCTGGAAAGGGTCAGAGGCTAAGGTGCCCTGACCCATCTCCACCCACAGGCATCACCTTACGGGCCCCCACCTCCCACACCAGTTGCTGTTACTCGCATGGAGGTTGTACAGATAAGCCACTGAGAGGCCGTCCTCTGAAACGTCCCAGGGGACAAGCCAGAAATCTAAGTTCAGAACGGGACAAAACATCTCAAAATGTACTCGGGACCATCTTGACCAAGCAGTAGATCCAGTTCCTATTTATAATTCTGAAACGCAATAAAATATCAAGGTGTTTGGCACCTAACTTCACTTCTGAAACTCTCCAGCAAGATGAACTGAATGGAAATGGAGGACACGTTCAGGAAAAGGGAAGAACACCGAGCTATTCTGAAATGCTGTCTGCTACGGCAGCTACAGACCGTGGGTGGAAATCTAAGGGAAAACACCCTCCTATTTATTAACATGCCATCAGTTACTTACAAAGGCAGACAGTCTGGTCATTGAGCCATACCACATATGGCTTCATTCACCAGGTGCTATGCCATCTTATTCCAAAACAGTGAGTAGGGGCATGCTTTGCATAATTTTTTAGTATCTATGGAAACAAAATGAAATGGATAACTGAACCTATTATCTGTAAAATCTACTCATCCAAAAATCAAATTATTGAGGCAAAAGTGATCTTTCAAAATACTGGGGGGAACACGCCATTTTCTACCACAGGCGCATCCCACTGGACAGAGAAATGCGTCCCACAGGAGGACAGCAGCTTCGGAGGCTGCACGAACAGCCCTCTCAGGAAACCTGATACTAAAACCATCTAATGGTGAGATCCACTAAAGAAAGAAAACACTCAGCTCCTGGACATGTCTGGACCTCAACGGCAGCTTGCACTGTTGCCAAGAACCTGGTGCACAAGTTCCAAAAGGAAAGATCAGGGACATACACGGGCTTTATGCACCACAAACTGCGCTCACGTGGACGCCATCCTCCTGAACATTTGGAGGTGAGCACCCTGGACCACAGAGGGTTCCATGTGCACACGGTCCAAGCTGCCGTCAGCCCACTTTGAGTTTCTTTGTATTTTAACTTAATTGAGAGAATATTTTGAAACATCTCCAAGATCTGCCTACAAACCAGTACTGAGATTTTGTAAAAGCCATTTCCCCAAGATGACCTAAAAAATGCATGTGATTAGATATTGTTACATATTCATAATTTATTTTCTACTTGATTCTCAAAGCATTTGCAATGACATAATCCCATACATAGTATAAATTTTTAAGCTAAAAATTTATAACTTAAATTTTTAAACTATAAGACAAAGAAGCAAATGCATCAGAATTCCCATGTCACATATTTCCACAATTAATAATTCCGAGCTCCCTGACAGCCAAAGCAAAAAGGGAAACATAATGAATTACAGTAGTTCCATTATTTAAAAAAGAACAATAAACAACCCAACTCTTTGGGAGAGAAGCTTTCCCAGGTGCCAAATTAAAAAAAAAAAAAAAAGCGTAAGTTCTTGTCTGGAATAATTTCTGGGACACTAAGAAGTCCCAAACACTCAGGATCATTTTTGAGATGCCCAGCCACTAATAAAATCCCAGGACATGACTTGAAAAGTCATACATCATCCTAACAGTTACTACCACTGACAATTACCTGTCACTGACATGCTAAATATATAGCAGAACAAACTTCTAACCACCTCAGTGTTACTAGTGTCTGTCCTATTTTAATGTGATGCCAAAAAAGGCTAAAGTGATGGGAAGAAAGAAGGACCAAAAGGGGAATGACCGTCTGAATTTTGTCCCATTTTCTTAGATGTCCAAGGAAAGGGAGAGCAGTAGTACCATCCAGAGAGGTCCGATTTGCAAAAACGACACAAAGTGAAAATGATATACTTACATCACCCTCCAAGCTGAGCTTGCTCAGAATTTCGTGAACAGTAGACATTTTGAAAGCAGCTGGAAAAAAATAAAGTGAAACGTTTTTAGAAAGAGGCTTTCCTTTCCCCGGAAGCACAGTGATTCATTACACTAATTTCTACTTCTTGGACCATTTCATCTGAAGATATTAAAGTAATTTTTACAAATATATGCAATTTCCATCTCATGATTGGGAAAATTAAAGTTTGGTGATAGTTTGCCTCGGGTTTGGGATGGGCGACTGAACGAGCCAGTCTTTCTCCTGCTCTGTTTGAACAGAAGCTGAGCTGGGAAGGCTGATTTGTGAATACAAAACCAAAATGCTCTTCAAGACGAAAGCCACTTGTTGTTCCAACAGGACAGAACTGAGCCTTCCCCTTCCAGTACAAAGTGGTAAGTTTGCCAAATGTGTCACAACTTCTGTTACTTCTCACCGGTAATCTGACATATTGAAGCCTGACATATTAATTACAAAATCAATGTGGTTCTCATACTGGCCCATTCCTAAATGGAACCCTTAATTACCACCCGTAATTATTTTCTTAGCTCCCAGGTGCTTAGAAGACATTAAACTGTTAATGAGAAAGAGAGGGGATCGATTTTCTGACATGAACGCACTCCATAAAAGACTGATCCTTGCACTTAAGATTCAAAATGGCTGCAATGAAGTCATCTTCCCGTCACTACACCTCCTCGGGCAGTGGCACTGCCGCCTGACCGACTGGCTATCGGGCTTTGCCATCACACAATTCTCGGAATCGATACCCCAGCCCCTGCCGGTGAAGAGTGCTCAACGGGCACTAGGTTCGTCCCAGCTGAGCCAAGGCAGGTCGTTCAGCAGCAGCATCTCCCAAACAAAGGACACAGCAGAGCTGCCTCCCGAACTGTGGGAATAACACCTGACTGCAGCATCTCCTGCTTCCATCGTTTTGTGATTAAGGAAACTGCATCCGTGCAAATTCTGCTTCCTGTTCTCTTCCAACAATTTGCTTAGTCTAAATATTTCCATAGAGCTGGCCTGGAGGGCGAATTGACACAGACACTTTCTGTTACCAGAAGGCTATAAACTAACTCGTGTGAGAGTCCAGGCTCAGTGTGGGGTGGAAGCAGGGGGTCTAAGAGAAGAGGATTCACCTTTGTTTGGGTTATCGATATATTTCTGCAAGATTTTCAGCCCCATCTCTCTCCAGACCCCTCCTCTGTATTCTGAATGCTCACAGATGCTTTTCAAGCACGGCAAAAAGAAAATCACAGCTATTCTAACTCCCCCAACTCTCACAACTCTCAGACCCAAATACCCTAGTGCTGGCATATAATCCTCATTTGCAAAGTCTTCCTCTATAAACAAACTGTGGTACATCCAGACAATGCAGTGATATTCAGGGCTAAAAAATGAAGGAAACTATCAAGCTATGAACAGGCATGAAGGAACTTAAATGTACATCACTAAGCAAAAGAAGCCAATCTGAAAAGGCTACATACTGTATGATCCCAACTATACAACATTCTGAAAAAGGCCACACTAAGGAGACAGCAAAGGGATCATCGGTTGTCAGGGATTAGAGGGGGAGGATGGAGGGATAAACAGGTGGAGCAAAGAGGATTTTTAGCGCCATAAAACTGTTGTGTATGATACTCTAATAGTGGATACACATCCTTGTACATACCTCTGTCAAGACCCACGGAATGTGTAGCACCAAGAACAAACCCTAATACCAACTATGGACTTTGACTGATAGTGATGGGTCAATGTAGGTCATCAGTTGTGACAAAGGTGCCACTCAGGTGGGGCTGCTGTGAAATGTGTGGGACTGGGAATACACGGGAACTTGGACTTTCCACTCAGCTTTTCTGGGAACCTGACGCTGCCCTAACAAAGAGTCTATTTTTCTCTCTCTCACAGCCTTGCTCTGGAGGTGGGCTCTCCAACAGAGTAGCCGCCAGCCACACGTGGCCTATCAAGTATCTGAAAAGTGTCCAGTCCAAACGGAGACGTGCCTTACGTGTAAGTACACACTAGATTTGGAAGACTTCGTATGAGAAAAAAAAGTAAAAATCTCTCAGTAATTTCTATATTGATTATATATTATTTACGATGTGTTGGGTATAATAAGTTAAATAAAAAAACTATTTAAATTTAATTTTACCTATTTCTTTTAGTTTGAAATAATTTTTAAATCTTCGCCCAAGGATATGCTCATTGCTTTTAGAGAGAGAAGAGAAAGACAAAGAGGGAAACAGGACTGGCTGCCTCCTGTAGGTGCCCCCAGCAAGGATCACACCTGCACCTGGCCATGTGCCCTGACCGAGAATCAAACCCTCAGCCGTTCGGTGTATGGGACGACCAGCTGAACCATGGGGCCAGGGCTTCTTTCTTTTTTAATGTGACTACTAGAAAATTTACAATTGCACATGCAGCTCATATTCTGTTTCTACTAGACCGCACAGGTCTCGAAGTCCAATCCTGGTTCCTAGCCTCTGAAGTGGCCGAGTCAGTTAAAGACTGAGTTTGAGACTCTGTAAGAGAAACAACTTGGAGTCTGCTCAAGAAATCTTCAGTTTCGCCTTGGGCCAACACACATCGCCAAGGGTCTCATCAGTACCCTTTGCCTAAGAATCACCAAAGCAGAACCACTCAAGGCCGGGCCTTGACTATTGCCCCTGGGGCTGGGTGAAAAGTGGACTGACAAGGTGTGCACTGAAGGGTAAACTGCTGTCACCTGCCTAGCAGAATTCTAGTCCCCGCAGTGTACCCCTAAGAAATAAAAATGCCGAAACACATACAGAGTTGTTTCTGCTCAAGGAAGTGTGGATTAAATTCGATTTATTTATTAAATCAAGGACCTCACGTTGGTTCTGATGTCTAAGAAATCTCAGACACAGAGGCACAGTATGTTCTCACTGTGTAGTTCTCTCAAGCTGCCTTTCCAGCTCTGAGCACTGGCTTTGCAGACAGCTGCCCAGCATAACCGTGTCTCACATGCCACCACCCTCAGTAGGTGGAGATCAAAGACAGCCTGATACACACTCTCCATTCATAGTCATTCTTCTCCCATAGCCACAACATACTGAGGACAGAAAATAGGGGTGCTTAAAAATCCCACAACGCTTCCTTTCCATTTTATTGTCCACAAGTTGTGCCCGTCTTTCATCAAAGCGGTCCCATGTGTCACCATCAGTTAAATTCCTCTAGTTGATCTTGTTCAACGTCCATTCTTGGAAGGCAGCTGTGCACACCACTGTACCACCAACGCCAATCAATGTCCATCCTTCACTGGTGGTCTCAGACTCTAACTCAGTCCCACTCTCCAGGAGTGGCCTGTGAACCCAGCCTCGGCACCCTCTATCCACTCCCCAGCAAAAGTGGACTTCGGCCAAATTGTTACTCGCTTCTCACCAAACACACCTTACTCCCTTAATCCACGCAGCCCTGATCAGTCCTTCCTCCCCCATCTCTTTACCCTACATTGTTCTTCTCCTTATAGACCCTGCCCACCCCTCAAGTCACCACCACTGTGGAGGCTGCGCTAATGGAGGCTACACCCCGATTCCACAGAGCTCTCTCCCTCCTTTAAATGTCAGAGCACTTACTGATGCTGCTAGATTCATCCACTGAGTTCCTGCCACGTACCAAGTATTCAGACAACAAATGCTTCTTAAGCTCAACTCAATGCAGCAGGCAGGCAGTATGTCTTACCTCATCTCCCTGAGTTTCAGTTTACCCACAGATTTAAGAGTGTCTTTGCACATTCTAGACACTAAATGAATGCTTAGAAACAATGAGCTGCTATTTTACATAGTTAACAGTTTACACATGTTTTATCTATATGTCCTGCTGGAAAAGCAAAAATACCAGTAACTACAAAGTAATATCCATGAAACTTGCTATGATTCCATGCATGTCTTTTGAATCCATATAAATATTTCCTATTCCATGCAAGCTTAATGGCAAACTTAATTTCACCTTAAAAATAAACCACGGCCCCCATTTCTTTACTGAATCTAATCCCCCTGACAAAGCAAAGTCCTTATGTGAATGACTGATGAGTCCCTAGAAGAAGTAGTTGGCTTTCCCACTCCTGTTTGTTAAAACATTAGCTTAATGTAGTATATTTGATTAATGAGACTGTGTCAGTGTGCTGCTACCCTTGAAAGTGGAAAAAAGAGTCTTGGCAGAGCTACCGTTGGTTACATGCCCTGGTAACATTCAAGTAATCTATCACCCTCCCCACCCCCACCCGCACAAGCACGCACTGGCCTGCACCACATTAACTGCAGCGAGAGACGCACACAGCTGTGAAATGCAGGCCCCACCCTGCAAGACCTCCAGCTCTCTCCCCTCCCCACCCCAGTGAGACACCTGAGCGACTGGCCCAGGGCACCCAGCCAGTGGGCAGGGAGAGAGGGCCAGAATCGGGGCCCTCCCACTCTGGGGTCTTTGCCCCTTCCCCCTCGCCGCGGAAAGGGTGAGGTACTGCCTAACTTGAGAAGGGCAATGACCCTGGAAGATTCCAGCCAGAGAAACTTGGAGAAAGCCTGGGGAGGTGGGTTGGAGACTGTCCCTCGGTGTCAGGAGAACCAGAGAACGGGCTTAAAACGAGCCTTGTCGGGGGCCTAAAATGAAAACTTCCGAATGGTGCAAGTTTAAGGTTGAAAATACTGGAGGGCCAGAATGCTAAGGTGATTTGTTCCCAATACTCATAGTACCTGTTCACCACGTTTGCTCTGGAGGCTGGATTTTCTTCCTGAAAATAATAGCTCCGCCTTAATGGGCCTATTCGAATCGTAAAATTCCTAAGGGCATTTAAAGCAGGACAAGCACCCTCTCTGGCCAGCTGCTCCAAAAAGAACATGGGCCTGACAGCCTGCATCACTCCTGCTGACACGTCAGCCTCACCCAGATCTCCAACTGGTTTCGACATGCAACAAAAAAATCAGCAAATTCTATCTGTTGACGAGTACCTCTACATACCAGTACCTTCCATTCCCAGAGAAGGGCTGGGTTCCTAGACGAGATCCTTAAAACGGTCCCTCATCAG